GCATTAGGACCCACATGAGCCGCAGGGTGAGCGCCCCCTGCTGGCCCCACTAACGCCTCTTCCAGCAGCAACCTTAGTTTTTCCCAGGAGGTCTCTCATCCAGGTACTGACCAGGCTCACACCTGATGGAGCTCCCTGAGGAAATCCACACAAGGTACACAAGGAGAGCATACAAACTCCACACAGAAAGAACCCCAAGAATTGAACCAAGGGCTCCAACAAAATGAAGCAGCAACACCAACCATTGTGCCTCCATAATGCCCAAACAGCATTGCTGAATTTTATTACAAAGCAATATTTGAGAAAATAAGTATTATGCAACACTAAGCTTCACTGCAGTTAATTGTTTAAACTTAAACTTGGTTAGTTCTTCTTGGAAAGCACAAAGACTTAATAATCATACCAAATGGTAATCTCAAGAACCTTATAGGTTTCTGTGGTCATACAAAACAATTAATTATACATCAATAAGAAGATGAAACCAAAATGTTAGAGAATTTCTCATCATCGCTGTTCTAAATACGTACCGCAAAAGTCAACAAAAGAAATTTGCTTAGAATTGAGGGATTTTCTAAAACCTCTCCAGACTGTATTGCATCCCATATCTGTAAACAAAATACAGTTATGACAAAAAAAAAAACAGAAACAACAAATATAACAAGTACAACTTATATGGTAAAGATGAAAAATGTTGTCTAATTTTACACTGTTTATATTACCTGTTTTTCTGTGAATGATACTACAGATAAGCCCATTCCCCTACAACCTTATTTAATATAACATTCTAAATAAAATTACTTCACACAAAACACGTACAATGCTATGTTTTATTAGTGAAACCGGCAAAAAGTACAAATATGGAAATATGGCATTTGCTCCATGCTGAATATCTTTAGTTAGTGACCACGTTAAGTAGAAATATGTAATACAATCATTATTCTACACACACAATTATTGTCCATAACATAATTGAAATTCTGCAAATAAAATGTGTGTGCGCTCAATAGATGGCACGTTTCCATATTAAAATCAGTTTATACTTTCCGTCATTTTAAGAACGTTACAAATGTCAAGATTAATCAAGATTGTTCATGAAAACTATTCAATCAAGTTTTAAGGACTGAAAACCCTTAACTGACTTTAATGCAGTCTTTTAATGGACCAAGTTAAAAATGGGACAAAGACAAATGAAACATACTGTGACTACAAAGGAACAAGTAATAGGTTTATTCCATGCTGAAAAAAAGAAGAAAGAGAACACCACGTTTCGGCCGTGGAGACTACTCTTATTCACCTATTTTCGCTCGGGAAAGACCATGGCTTTTTCCTTGTTTGATTTAAAAATACTCAAAGGTCACAGTTTATGACCATTTGGAGTTTGCGTAAGACATGCCCATCAATAAAACATCTCAAGCCTTACAAAAACACTGTTCCAATCGAAGAAATACGACATCAAAATACAGAATCAAAAAACTACAGTTCACTACGAAGTCTCTGTAATAACATAAAGCCCCCTTTTTTTTTGTGGCCAGTCTGGGTTTACAGATATTTAACTTACCTGCTTGGCTTCTTTTTCCAGTAGCGTTTTCTTATCACAAGACTTAAAGGATTCCAGAGTGTTTGTGTTGTAGAGAGTACCAACTGCAGGGCAACAGCGGGTTGGAGTGGGGCCATCTCTAAATACATAAAGTAGAAGTTTTACTCAAGTAAATTAATTTCACTACTGGTGACAAATCTTTATAGGTGTTTAATTGGTCACACTGTCATCACATTCACTAACTGTCCTCAAATTTCAAGGCTTATTTGTCAACTATATTTAAGTTAGATTGCACTCATGTACTGTAGCTACACGCTAGTTCATTAAGAACATGAGCATTCATGGCTTATTTGGTGTGTGCATGCCAATGCAACATTTTTGCAACATTTTATTCCGAAGCATAGAACAATTCAGGACGCAAACTTTGAAAAGGAATGGAATGACAGATTAACTTTTTTTTTTTACCAGAATGTGGAATCAATTCTCACACTATATTTTGCTTCACGGGTAAAAGGTTCACTGTCCTGCTGTATGTAAGAGTAAAATCAATCAGTAAACACATGGCTTGCAGTTTGTCAACAAAGAATTTCCCTTTCTTTTCATTTTCCCGATGATTTCAGCTGCCCTTCCTGCAGTACAATTATTGGCATGCATGCATACAAGAATACACCCATAGTCAGTTACATGAAATGTGCCTCCGCCGAACATCACTGGCCTTTCTGGGCAGAGATTTCATAAATGAAAAGAAAGGTCAAGATGTTGCCAGAATGCGCCCGTTTTGCCCTGACACGAAAGCTTTATGTAATTCAAAATTACATCATAATTTCTGTTTCTTTTCATCAACGAAATAACAGGTCTCTTATTTATCAGCTGAAACCACGCCATTTTTAAAGATCACATCATGGAATCTAATCCAAATTAACTGCATGAGCTTTAAAAAGAAAATATGAATAAGTTCTACAGGGAAAAGCAAAGTAAAAGTATCAGGTTAATCATGGCAATGGCAGCCACCCTGCACTGCAGACAGTTATATAATGCAATATGGTCAATGTTGAAGGAGCAAAAAAAATAAGAGCTTCAGAAAAACTAATCTATTTCAATAAAACTTGGGTTTGTTATTCAGAACACAGTGTTCCTGAGCTTCTATTCTCTCTCCTATTTTTTGTAATTTAAGTACTCTCGACTAGACAGCAAAAAATGACCCTCAACAGCCTGAAACATCTTGCTTTTGCCACATTCATGTTATTAGTAATGAAGCAGAGTTCAACCTTTATCTGAAGTACAAACCACATTCTAAATTTAGATACTCACACATCAAAGGCACTGAATTCCAAGGTTAATCGAGTAGGGAGCCCAACAGGATCACCTTGAAGGTGAACATGAACAAGACAACAGATTACATAAACCACAGAGCTTTGCACAACAGAGCTGTGTTAACTTGCATCCAATACCCTCTTTTTATTGACCTGTGAACGAGACAAGTTTATATCATAACAATAAGTACATAATTCATATTTATTGAATAGCAGAGATGTGGTGCCTCTAATGAAGATATAACCAAAGCCCAAAGCTCAAAGCAGAAGGGTTCAAAGGTGGGCAGTATATCTATGTCTTTGAATAACTATAAATAAATGTTTATTTTAATAGGGAAATTCTGAGCTGAAGCTACATGAGTATGGACTTCTGAACACTTGGTTCCCCAATTCTGTAATGTGTACAGTAAATTTATAATAATAATTGCTTACATTAATATAGCGCTTTTCTGGATGCTTTACTCAAAGTGCTTTACAGGTAATGGGGACTCCCCTCCACCACCAATGTGCAGCCCCACCTGGATGATGTGACAGCAGCCATAGTGCACAAGTACACTGCCCACACATCAGCTCTCAGTAGGGAGGAGAACAGAGTGATGAAGCCAATTCATAGATATCAGGAGGCCATGATTGGTAAAGGTAGAGGAAATTTGGCCAGGATGCTGGGGTAACACCCCCACTCTTTTCAAGAAACACCCTGGGATTTTTTATTGGGATTTTTAATGCACAGGGAGTCAGGACCTCGGTTTTACATCTCATCCGAAAGACAGACCGTTTTACAGTATAGTGTCCCCATCACTATACTGGGGTATTAGGGCCCACACAGACTGCTGGGTGAGCGCCCCCTGCTGGCCTCACTAACAACTCTTCCAGCAGCAACCTTAGTTTTTCCCCTCCAGGTACTGGCCAGGATCACACCTGCTGAGCTTCACTGGGCTGCCAGTCGTGAGTTGCAGGGTGCTGGCAATGTAAAGTAAATTGGATTCAGTTTGGTGGCAAAAAAGTCAATCCCCCTTGCAGGTTTATCTCATAAATGCCAAACTCTACGTCCAAGCACTTGAAATGGTGACCTGCTGGCATCAGGAAGCTGCAGCGCATCTTTTACGTTTCGAGGGCTTTTCAATCATTTGAACTGAACTCACAGGGAACACATCTGACCTTCTAAACTAAAATCCTTGCAGGATTTGAACAGTTTGCAATGCGCTTCCTCATACATTACCCCTTTCCTGACTCCACTCACCATTATAATAGTACCCTTTGATGCTTTTTGGACTTTCATCCAGCCGGTAGTCATTGAGTTTCTTCTGCGTGAGCTCGTGCCAGAAGCCGGCTTCCAGGGCGCTGCTGAAGGGAGCAAACTGCAGCTTGGGTGGCTCAACCTGAGCTGTACCGCCTCTCTCTGTGGGCAGGGCAGCCATTCCGCTCTACAAATTCGGTTTGCTTCTGGAACAGAATGTACAACACAAAACGCACAGCTCATGTGTTTGTACGCTGTACCCTTAACACAAAATACCATCCCAAAACATTTTAAAACAGATCAAGCGCAAACCATGTTCCAGTTGCAACCAAGATTTATTTATTTTTTAGTTTAGCTGCAAGTCCTACCTCCATCTGATCTATATTTATGCTTGGTGAGAACAAACTCATTTTCCTTTTGGTCTCCAACCCACAAAGAACGTTTTTTGCAAAGACCTTTTCTTAGGAAGAAAATCCTCCAAATCACACACTAACTACAGGGGCTAGGAGAGATTACAACCAGTAATAAATTGCAATGGACTGATGACATTTCCACAGTCTTACTTAAAAAAATGAGGAATGTTCGTCATAGACCCTTAACTAGGATATTTCAGTTCCCACTTAAGATGGGCTCTGTACCAACAGATTGAAGGAATGGCAATTTTAACATCATTTCATAAAAGAGGGGCAACACTGAACCATTAAACTATAAACCAGTCTGGAAATATCACAGCTAAAGCAGAAGAATACTTCGGAAATATTGGCTGTCTCTTAAAATCCCATTATGGATTTAGAAAAGGAATGTCTTGCTTAACATATTACAATTCTTTAAACAGCAAGGACAGTTAATACCAATAGGTGCTCTAACATCACCTGTTCAAATTTCCAAAAAGCTTAACCCTCAGATTAAAAGCCATAGGAATTTAAAGCAATATATGCATGTGAATGGAGAACTGCTTCACTGAACATGTAACAGCAAGTCAATTTAAGAATAATATCTACCTGGGCCAAAGTAAACAGTTATGTAATGCATAGATCCATTTAAGCCAATTGCTCTTCCGGATCCCTATCAATGATTTGGAAACTAAAACGAAACTTACTTAAGATGGAGAATAGGAAGCTCTTCTTTATACATAGAGTTTTGAGTGTCTGAACAGGCCTCCCAGTCTGCTGCTGATGTTGATGTCCAAACTTGGCTCCTTCAAAATGCAGCTGAATAAAATTTTGTCTTAGATACTAAAATACCAAATGAACAAGATGAGACGAATTGCCTCCTCAAGCTTTCTGCAGGCTTTCTTATGTTCTTAAAAGGAGGAGAAAGAAAAAAAAATGTCCTTAGTTACATTACCTTCACCTCTGCTGAGTTTGGAAATAAGCATTAATGGAAACAAGGGACACTCAGTCTTCAATAGCACATTTTGAATATAAATCAAAGGGGAATGACTCATCAGTCTTCATTGCATTTTTATTGTAAATTACCTTTTTTTTTAACTCAAAGGAGTATTCTTTTTTAGTAACATAAACAGCATTAATGAATTACTTCAATCAGGATGAATTCAAATTCATGGGTTGATTAAGACAGCTTATTCCATCACCTTGTTAGAGTCGTGCACAATATCAATTGATTCAGTAACTTGAACCGGATGCAAATAAGAAAATGCAAACCTATTACAGTCCACATCGAATACGCTTGGTGTTTACTGCATATGTTTGAAGTTTACATTGAACGTAATAATTTATTTTGCAAAAAAAAAAAGTGCAAGAAATGATAAAAGTATCAATTTGTAGATTAAGATTAAAGAATTCATTTCACGTTGAAAAGTTCCTTCTTTACTGTCAAAAGGGGTAAAAAGCTGATATTTGAAAAGGCAGACATTTTAGTGCTTCTAATATTAGGATATGCAACTGTTGATTTTTAATTTACTCATGCAAAAACTGATATAAATCAAACAAGTAAATTCTTAGTTTTCCATTGTGTCCAGATTAAAAAAAAAAGTTATATTTTTTGAAGCCATACATCTCCAAACTTTTTTTTTTACACAGACATCAACAGCCCTTTTTTCTCTTTTGAACATGAAGAACAGGGCTCAGTAAAGTGAAGTAGCACTAGACATCCCCTCCCCACAAAAGACACATACTGTAGCTCGTCCAATAATTCTTCTTCTTTATTTAAACTCAGAGGTTCAAAGTGTGAAACAGATTTTAATCCCCTAATAAGCTCTGCTGTGGATGAACGTACTTTCATTCAACAGGCTTCCATAAGACAGACAACACAATTTGTGTAATTAAATACTGGCGCCGCCAAGTCTCTTAAGCATTTACATGACCCCATCTGGCATTCTTATACACATTTTAAATTAAACAAAATGCTGAATTCTGGATATTTTAACAAAATACCCCAACCACAAAATTAAAGATCTTGTAGCTCAACAATCCCTTCTTGTAGTACAAACAATTTGACATTTTGAAGTCAAACAAGCATTCACAATACTTGATAATCCTGAATCTGTCCATGTTAAAACTCTGTAGTAAATTATTCAGTCTTTACTTTTCTCTATTATGAACATAAATAGAAATTAGGAACAGTTTAATGCCATTTTAATGATATACAGGATGACAAATTATGATTAAGCACCCAAGTAAAAAATGCATTTACGGTTCATCATGACTGAGAAACTGATAAATTGCACTAGACAGCAAGACTTGCTTTTCCTTCCTACTTCATCTTCTATCTGACATTTAACATGATGCATTAAAGAAGAGCTTTTCAGCATATTTGATACGGATTAAAAGAACCCAAGGCTCAATGCAATCACTGAGCAATACACATCTGGAACTTTAAATACTTCACAAATTATACTGACCTTGTCCTTAAAATCTGCATGTAATGCTAATGGTTAAACCAGTGATCACTGTCCAAATACCACTTCTGCCTGGTAAAATCAGACAAAAATAGACCCTTTCTGTTAAATTAGCAAAGTGAGCCTACATGCATGCCAATGGCTTGTACTTCAGAGGTGCTTTACATGATTTCCAGTTGAAAATATTCCAGATCTTGAAAGTTTGATTGTATCTATTCAGTGAAATTCTCTGCCTAATACCAATCACTAATAAAAGAATAAATCAAGACTCCAAAATACTTTAAGGACCATTGTTCTACCAGCAGCTAAACCATCTGCAGAGGAAGAGAAAATATTTAAAACCCAAAACATATCATCTTCGGACTCTTCGCTGAATATCTAGGAGCTATGTTTGTATGAGTCTTTTATTTATTTTAGCAAAATAGTTACTAATACCAATGGTACAAGCAAAAATAAGATTTATATCTTAATACAATGTAGTTTAAACTCCATTAAAAAAAATGATGCATATCATTTTATTAGATATTAAGATGTTAACATTATTGGTAGGTAAAAAGTGAATACACAAGCAAGACTTGAAGTATCACAGATAAGAGGCTCTGACCAATACAAAATATAAACTGACCATCAAAATAAACTTGTCTCTTTCTACTCACATATGTTTACAGCAAAATGAGGTATGGATTTTGATTAAATGTTTTTGGTGTCATCCTGATTAATTGTTCATTTATTACTAATCGTGATACTCTTGAGTGACTGTTACATAAGCAATGAATCACCTCATAAGTGAAAGAGCTGACTGGGCACAGGTACAATTCCCAACCATGAAAGACGTTACAGTCAAACACAGCCTGTCAATGACAGGCCATGATCTAGAAGACCACAAACCAGGACGCTAAAACCGATGGCGATGTCTCTAAATGTGATTGGTAAGGACGGTAGTGTCTAGGTGATACAGAATTCCACTTGTAGTGATTAATAACAGCCCGACTGCACATGTCTACATTGGTCAAGTCCTGGGACCTCACTTGCTGCTCGACCTGGTTACAGCAGGACAACTCACACCCTCATGCTGCTCATATAATAATGGCAATCGTGTGATACTTAAGACATGGATGCCCTTCTTGCCAGAGTTAAGCCGCCATGAACATTTTCTGGATGAACTAGGACACTATACACCATTTACTGTATGATGACAGATGTTAATCAGCACAAATGTTTTACCTATGTAATTCAATAAAATGTCAGTGTACCTGCCACAAAAAAACTGATAGCTTTTTTGCAGGTTGTACATATTTCTTTTGATGTTCAGTGCAATTTAAACAGTCACAAGATTATGTTCCTCCAGTAAGTACTTCTAAAAAATTCTATAATTTAAGTATACACATTTATAACATAGCCTACAGATACAGACAAAAATAATGAAACCTTTCTTTTCTAACAATTTTATTCCACTACTGAGTTGCTTATTGATTGTATTATCAATACAGGCTTTCCAAGGTTTATCAAATACTAATAATGCTCATACCTGAAGAAGAGGCAACTATATCAATAGATTTGCAAATGTTAGTATTGGATCCACTTAAACACTCCATAAAACTTGGTTAATTCACATGGACTTTTTATTGTTACACACCCAGATAAAACAGTGTGCTGAAAAACTAAGGTCAAAAAGCAAAGCGAATAAAAACAGGGCAAGCAGGACTTTTGAAAGAATGAACTGAATATGCAGACTGCACTAAAAGCATTTAATTACTAAGTGGTCATCAGATCTTAAATCAGTGCTACAGGTGCTTTAGAAGATCTGTATTCATATCAGAGGCATACTGTTCTGTTACATATTCATGAAATAGATTCAAACTAAAATCCCACACATTTCTTTAAAACATTTAATTATGCTATTCCTGTAGGTGGAATCCACAGCACTGGAAATGAACAGCCCACAAGTGACCATCATCTAGTAACTTGTTGGCTATTTTACATTAATCAATCTTAATTACAAATTAATTTTAGTAGTCACGTAAATTTCAGTTTTAACTTGAAGCTACAGAATACGTTCCACTTGGAGCCGCAGGTTTATGAAACAGTAACATATTGTTGCTCTATAACACAATGAAGAGTTTGGATTTCCACGTTACCTTGCCTGTTTTACTTTCTGATAAAGACGCATGCTGGCATTGTTTTCTTGGTAATTATTTTTCATCAGAATCCATCCTTAACATACTCCACACTTACCAAATGAGGCGGGGAAGAATAAGGTTAAATCAGGTAATGACCTAGGCTTTAATGAAAAATGAATATCCAACAGCTTTGAGCTACGTAGCTGTAACGTGACACATATATAGCTCACCTTATCATTTAAATTCATATCATAAACATAAGATTTAACCTAAAAAAAACGTAGAATATTTAGCAGAATTTACAGAAAGCAGTCCAACACTATGTGCTTTTCATTATGAAAAGGAGTAACTTCAACTTGGACTCGAAAAGAAATCATCACATATATTTTATTAATCATGTTTATTAGATAGCCAAGTGTTCGGAAGAGAAGGCATATCATTCCGACTACAGGGAAGCTGGATGAAAAAACTTTACTAAGTATAATTTTGTTATGTACCCAGACCAAAAAACAAATGCTCCAACCTGCATACTTACCAAAGCTACTTCCGCCTTCGACACTTGTGACCGGACGCTCTTAGAGTGACGTCAGACGTACGCAAAGAATGCACGTAATGTATTAGTTACGCCAGTGTTGTGGGAGTGATACGAATTTCCAACAAATTACAGCGTCCAAATGTATAATCCTTTCTGATTTATTATAGTACAGGCGTCTGCAGAACTAGGAATGTGAAATTATTAACAAACTTCACATATTTACTACAAAAAGCTTTTCCAACACCTAAATAATAACAATCCAGTAGATATCGTCTACATTTAATTGCATTACAAAATGAAAGCCAAAATGTTAGCAATAACTTACGTAAATCTTTAAATCCAAAAAAATCAAGAAACTAAACTGAATCTAGCTAACAAGGTAGACAGGGTAAATACACGAAGCCTGGCCATTATAGCTATCTGTTTGTTTCACCACTTACATAGATTAGTGTTGCATGCAAAATAATCAATATTTTCATCCACAGAAGTCGACCGTGGAAACCACTTACTGCACTAAGGCATTGCATTTAAATACAGTTTACGGTGCGTTAACTATTGTATAAAAAACAAAGAACCAAAACAGAAACAAAAAAGCGCAGACAGCCAAGCACGAAAAAACAGAGAAAAACTGGTATGCACCATTCCTTTTCATTCTGATAAGAAGGAACTCTCCCTGTTGTAGCTAAAATAGTAATGTTACCTCCCACGAAGCAACGCAGCGAACTATAAGGTGAGTTGCCTCACATGGAACTAGAATCGTTTTTCTTGGTTTAATACAAAATGGATCCCAACATGATATCGATAAATAAAGCGTGGTGCCGCATGAAAGATTTAAACCTGTTTCATACTGCAGCAATCGACGAGCAAACGATATTTTGTGATTGGTTTTCCCCAAAAAAATATCCTAAACAGATTTCAAAATTCCCATGACCAGTGCATGGAGTGATGTGGTTTTTCTAGTCTGGCTAAACTGAGAACGAGTTGAACTGGAGACTCAAACTGCATTTTTGGTGCCTGTTCATCAGACGCACCAGTCCTGAGCGTCCATGCTAGAAACTACAGTAATTGCTCAGCAGCGCCATCGAAAACGAATCGGCCTTGATCTATTCTTTTCTCTGTGACAAGTCTAAGCCTGTTAAAAAACAATTTATTGGTATTACGTTAATCAATTTAACATATGCCCTAGTGGAAATTGTAGTAGAAAAGGTTCATCTGGTATCTACCAGTGACCAAGATCTTCTAGTTCAGAAAACGTTCAAAAGCCCATTGAGATCTGTTTATTACTGCATCAATCTTAAACAGTTTATACTGTATTCTACTGGCAATAATTGAATAATACTTAGTGGGTACAGTGTTGTTGTTGTACTATGGATATGAGAGTTACCTATTGTTAAGCAACATGTATAATATCTTTCAAATATTCATGAAACCATGTTAGGCAATTTGTCAGTTACCTGAGTAATTTCTCAGATTTAGTCATTAAACATATTACATTTAATTATTTATGTACAAGCAGTTCAAATATAAGCTGGCTGTGATGGGCACCACAACGAAACTTTGAGAACGAAAATATTATCTCCTGATGGAATCCCCCCCTCACATCTGCCACCACTGAATACAATAGTTTAGTTGTGACATTGTCTTGTTTTTTGCTTGTTGAAAAAAGAAATATATATATAGCATTTAAGTTAAATCTACAGAATCACACAAAACCACACAATTTGTCTTTTTAAATACATGCAGAACACACATATTTTAGTATACTGCATGATCACATTTATCATAGATTTAATAACTTACTGTACAATGTATTTAAACATGACTATTCCCATATGAATAGAGTTAACTAACCTGTTGATAGAGTTAATGTTGGGCACAAAAAAAAACGTCTGAAGAAAGGAACTGTCCATCTCCTCATTATCCTGGATTAGAATAATGGCATGATCTTGAGTATTAAAAGCTGCTAAAACTTAGAAACTCTGTACATAAAGTACTGTGTTGTAAGTCCATAAGCATTTCAATACATCTGTTTGCATACTGCTTTTCACTGTGGACCATGAGCTCGGTTAAGTGCAGTAGGGCCACAGGACTGATTCACAAGGTGACACCTTGTTAGCAAACTGAATTCACACTGCACATTTTTTTTTTGTTTAAAAATAATCAGTATTTAATTAAATTAAAAATAATTTATGGTTTTCATGCACCATGTCTGAAAATAAATTTTTAATTAGGAACAGATGAGAAATAGCTTTGAAGCCTCTGAAACAAGCCTGCATTTTTGCTTTAGAAAGCATGTTTACAATTGTTACAAAATATACATTTGTTATAACTAGAATTTAAAGAAGACAATTGTACCTACCATATACTGTACCATAGTTCTTCATATTGTACCTTGTCAAATCTTGTACACCGTGGTATCACCAATTGTATTCATGATATACCATACTACTAATACATCTTACTGGTACTACATGGTATTGATATAAGTGCCACTGTACATTCCACAGCCATGCTTGAAAACATACTTTTATGAGACCACAAAATATTTCCCCCTCTGAATGTATAACCTCTGGACTCTTGAGAAACCCAGCTCTTAAGAGAAACAAGATGTGTAGTGGATGATGACAACAAAAAAAGAAAGCTATAAGAGTCTGCTACTTATTTTGTCCATTTTCATTTTTTGTCAATGTTTAATTTAAGCTTTTGCTTATCCAAGGTGTTTGGAATGTTATTTAGCTGTGACTTGGTGCTCAATATTGTGTCGTGTCCTTAAGTTTTTCTCAGAATTGCACACTTTCATATTGCAGTCAGTCTTCAGGAGCAATGGTCAGTGGACCCAAAGGTTTGTAGAATAAGCTACAAATTCTAAAAAAACACAAACATCTTCCATTGAGAAAGGAGCATTTGGTACTGAGTCAATTTGGTACTGGTTCCAAAGGCGTTCTTGAACTGAATGAGCCTATTGTCTCTACAAAGAGAGATTAAGACTTTGCTCTTTTACTGTATGTCCAGACAGAAGTTCTTAAGTTTTACATAGTTCAGTGAGTTTTGTTGATTTGACTCTATTGGGCATTACAAATGACTGCTGAATCATCTTAAACATGGGTAGTGTGACTGAAGGTTACATAATTGTTTACTGTTTTTATGTCTTTGAACTTTGGAGGTTTTGATGTATTTGGACATTACAAACACTTAAAACTGATTTGCTTGGTAGTTAGTCCTGTTGAGAAAAAAACACTAATCTTGATACTATATCTAAATATGTTATTAAAACAATCTTGCAGATCCCAAATACTGTAAGTTGCAGGGAAATATAAGCCCTTTCTTTATCAATATTTCGGTTACATCTCTGTATAATGTGTTTTGCCATTTCCTTTTCACTGTAACAGTAAAGCCAAAATCATATATTTTCTTGTAATAGTGCCCTACATTCCTTGATAGAAATATAGTATTTCTCTAAGATAACCTTTCATATGCGTTGAAAAACAAATACAGAATTGATGTTGTAATAGTTTATTACAGTACTAGTAACCATTACTGATATTGTTACATGATATATGACTGTGGTATCCATCATTTTCTTATTACTTCATCCAATTTAGGTTTGCAATGGAGTTGGTACCTGCAAATAATGGATTCAAGGTGGGGTATACCTCAGATCGGTCGCCAGTCCATTGTAGTAAATGTGCAGTATTTACAAATTTGTTTGACTTTTCCTGCTTTTGGCCTGCAAATTATAAAGTTCTGTTCTGAAGGATTATTTTTGTCAATTATTTAAAACAAATTTAAATCTGTCACTTCTTTAACAAAACAGGCATGAATTAAAATAACATGTTACTGAAACATTTTACATTTCTGAATAAAGTGCGCCGTCAATGGATGTGGAAAATGTATCAAAATACTACAACAAAGAAAAACAATGTTGTTTAGTTAAATAATAGATTACTTTGTAAATACAGCCAGCACAGTGTAATACACAATTTACTCGACACATAAATAAAGGCATTAATTTGATCCAGCAAACTTTAACAAATATTTTTATAAAATGAACAATAAATAGCATGAGTCATAAATTTAAGACGTTGTTTTTAGATACAAACACTAGTAGATTCTACATTAGATCTTTGAATAAAACACAAAGGTTGCATGTTGTTTCAAATTCACAGTTCCATTTTCAACCAAACATGAAGTTAATATGAAACACGTAAACCACTTTTTAAAACATTTGTCTGTTCTGTAATGAATATAAGATAGTTATTGGAAAATACAAAAGATTTGCTTCATATACAGTATATCCAATGTCCAGTGTTGCCTACAAGGAGAAGGAAAAAAAAATATTTACATACTGAGAATACTGAAACAAACAAATGAATCACTAGTCCTTCTTTATATAGTTCTTTGGTTTGAGAGAAATTAGGATTCCAGTAAATTTCCAATCAAATAGCCTTTAATTGGTACAGTATGTTTTAATTTTTAAATGGCAGGGCAGCTTGTTCATTCATAAATCTAAAAATAAAATATTTCTTTAAGATAATGAATACAAGGATTTATTGATTAGTGATTAAATGACTATCACCTTTAACATCGAATTACAAAATAAATTATTTCAAAATGACGCACATAACACTAGGAGCAATACTATACAATTCTTTCTGTGTGGAAATGTAAAAGGCCACTATGTTTCATGCTGTCAACATCAATAGCAGAAACTGTGGTACCTGTTTTCGACATAAAAGGTCTGTGATCTAAGATTTGCTTTCAAAACATGGATGAATACTTTTCACATAAACACTAACTTGAATAGCAAGAAGGCCTCTTTCAGACTGGAATAGAAGCTCATTGAAATGCTAATAAGTAAAAATGTTTTCCAGAGGTTATTTTAGGGTGATGACTAAGTTGATAGTACTAATCTAAGGCAATGAAAGTCTTTATGCTCTTTTAATCTTTTGTGAACACATGGGGAAGATGTCATTGTACTGCACAACAAGAACAAGACCCACCACCGTAGGTCTCACACACATTGTTGAAGGAACTTTCTTTTGGAGAAAGACTTTAATTAGCATGATTATTTTTACACAGAAACATCTGAATTGCGTAAAATAGGTTCCTCATTTCAGAATAGTAAAATTGAAAAAAATATGTATTGCTATTAGTCCTGAAATAGTTTCCTTTTACATTCAGAATGCTGAAACAGTCCTGATTCCTTTGTCATTTAAGATGTTTTGGAAATGATCTGAGAATTACAGAGGGTAATTTCAAGAGAAATTGAAAGGACTTGTAGGGAGGTTTGGGTTGATTTGATATGAACTATCGTAATATCAAACATGATAATGCACATCCAGTGGTACGTGGAAAAAATCCTTTAAACTATTAGGAATTAATATGGAGTATATTTTTAAAGATTTTTTTGAAATTTTCATTGCAGAGGGGATAAATGAAAGGATTTAATGTGGAGTTGATATATCCTAGCCAGATGGTGAACATATGCAGATCATGATGAACACACGTTTTACAAAAGGCCATTACCATAAATGTTACAAAGTAAGGGATCCAACACACCATAAAACCTGCGATGATAAAGCCCAACTGTTTTGCAGCTTTTCGTTCCTTACTGATGCGAAGGCTCTGAACATACTGTTTGGACTGGGAGCAGAACTTTTGCCAAGACTGCTTCAGGTTATTCACGCTGGCAGTATCTACCTTGGGGCTACTGCTGTGAGACCACGATGGAGGCTCAGGATGTGAGAACTCATCTTTACACAGGACTGTGGCAAACCTCTGAACATCAGAAATGTCTGTTATCTCGCAGACGCCAGCGACAGAGTTGGGCACAATTAAATTACAGTCACTGACTGACACAAACATTGCATTGACATCTTCATTCTCTGATTGCAGAATGCCCAGAGGCAAGCAGGCCACCTTCAAAGGTGTCTCAGGACCCATGGCCAGATGCTGTTCATTTGTGTCCCCCTGTGTACCAAGAGAAGCAAGCGGGTGCTTTTCTTTATCTGTCAGGAACATGTCTTCTTGCAGCTGCTTTTGATGTTTGGGGATAGTGAATAAAGCAGCCTGGTAGCAGCAGTTAGTTGTGTTTTTCTCAACCCAGGTCTCTATACCCTCATTTATGTCTTTTGGGTAGTATTGCTGTCCGAGGCTGTACTGATCAATCAAACCCTCAAAGTGGGAAGATTCCTGAGGAGCACTCTCTTCCTGTCTGACTACATCAGTCTTACGCCTCTTCCCAGATATTTTACAATTGTTAGCGAAACAATTCCTGTTGTAAGAAGAGGGCTTCGACTCCTTGATGATCTCCCTTTGCCGATAATGCTTTCTCACTGCCATATATATCTGTGCGTAAAACCACAGCATCAGCACGGAGGGAACGTAGAAGTTCAAAACTGCAGTAAGGACTTTAAACCAGGTAACAAATCGAAAATCCGTGTCGCATTTGTTTTCCGTTTCGGGCTGTGGATCGACGTCAGAAAAGGTCCGCCATCCCAATATGGGTATGACCCATGTCATTGACAAAAGCCAGGCCCCTGATATCATAACACTGGCCCTGGCCCGGGTCCGATATTTGAGATATCTAAGTGGCTGCCTCACAGAGCGATACCGATCCACACACAAAATAAAGAGGCTGAAGATGGAAGCTGTACTGGCTACATAATCCATGACTAACCAAAACTGGCAAACCATGTTGCCTAGTCTCCACTCTTTCTCCAGCAAATACACAATGCTGAGGGGCATCACAGTAGCACCCACAATAAGATCTGCTACAGACAAGCTAACAATATAGAGGTTCCCAACTGTGTGCAGCGTTCTCTCCTTCTTGACAGCGTAAAGGACTAAGATGTTCATTATCACAGTCAACAACGACACAGTTCCAAGAACCAGTCCAAGCAAGGCATCATTTATGTGGTTGTGGAAAGTGACACTTGAGTTGTTCAGTCTTCTTTCTTCAGCATCTGACTGTTTTTTCCAAGTGCCATTGAAGGAATTGTCTATGAGGGAAAGAACAGATGTAGTCTCCATTACTGAAGTCCTGGGTCTGTCCACATGGTGTAAAAAATGCAGAAGACCATAGACCATATTATGTTTTTGTCCTGGATCTGTCTCTGCTAACACCTACAAAATGAAAACAGAAAAAAATGACAGCATTTGAAAAACTGGAAATACTGTTTGATATCAACATATAGAATTAATGTTTTAATATCAGTATGAAATGCATGGCTCTAATGCTATTTGTATAGGCCTTGCATATTTTCTAATAAAATGCCTTGTTTTCTACTGACAAAGCATCAAATGTCTTTAAAAATCTAAAATCTAAAATCCATTAAGATAAGTATATCATTTTATATCTAACTACAGATCATTCAATTTTAATGTTAAACATACTCTTAACAATAAACAAATGATTTGTAATTATTACAGAAAACTATACAAAAATAATTCAATAGGCATAAAAAATGAAAACTACGACAGTCCAAAGAGTGTTTTGGGAAACAAAAAATACCAAAGACTATTATAAATTATAAGTATTCAATTGTTACTTTCCCTAAGGGGCAGAGCTTAATGCTTGTCCTAGTCAAAAGCATTAAACAGGACATAATGCAATTAAACTTCTTTTATGTCAATATCTAGTGCTGCGTTAAAGAGGCAGGAGGGTCTTCATTTATTTCCATATTTTTCTTCAGTAAAAAGAAGCTGGATAAAATACATTTCAAAGAAAAGGTTTTAAAAAAAGATTCAACAGAAAAATGAGAAGCTGTCCGAGTTCAAAGACACAAAGCTTCAAAAAAGGAAAAAAAAAACAACCACTTCATAGATGCCTACTGTTTATGCAAGTAAAGAGCTTTGAAAAATGATCAGTTTATTTTATGTGGTCAAATCTTGGAAGAAGAGGGGCTGCAATAAAGCTGCTGTAACTCCACACAAAGGACAAACAAGATGAGGAGTATCTCGTTTCAGCCACATGCTATCACATCCTTAATGTTTGTCAGATCTGTCGACTGATTTCATACGGTACTGTATGTGGAAGATTCGTGATTGAGGTTCACAGTGTAAGTGTTATAATGAGAACTGTAACTACCTTAGGATAAATTCTATTCCTTATGTTCACAATAAGACAGAGAAAATGCCATATTTATTTGATATCATACTTGCTAAGCAATTAAAGTTCCACCCTTGATATTTTAGAATCCCAAAACAGTAGCTGTTGCTATAGTTGGAACTATTGCTTCCTCCACTAATGAGGTTTAAGTCTTATGCCACCGAAAAAAGGTGCTGAAAAAAGAATTCTAGCTGACAGAGAGACTCTTCAACCATTTGAAAACAACTAAAAGCACAAAAGGAATTCAACCCATAATTGTTTAAGAAAACAGGACACAAATTTCTGTTATTTTCTTATGTATCTGTTGTATGATTTGTGGATCTTGCTCATTTAGTTGCTAGAGAATGATCTGAGGAACTCATAACAGCTACTTTTTGAAAGAAACCAGGGTGTTAACTTTGACAATGTGGCTGGGCAGCTTGTATCTGATTTCCACAACCCTTTGTGTGAAAATGTGCCTCCTGTTCTCATGCTCTTCATGCACTTGTGTTCTCTGGTTCATGTCGTCTTATTAATCTGCTCATTTTACGAACTGTATATTAAAGGACTGATATTGGAAGCACTAGCTCCATGATATAATTAATTAACTACTAACTGCACTGACTGTGATCTAAAAACCTACAGATCTTGAAATTAAACTTAAATTAATTCAAAACAAAATCACCAAGGCAGGTAATTCCTTAGCAGACAGAAAAGTAAAAATTTACAATAATGACAAAAACAGAATGTGATTTGATTTTGTGAGTCTTGTTTTGAGCCCTGCAGAATAAAAGACTGATTTCTAATTTCATGTTATGTATTTATTGTAACCTAAACAAACGATAGTCAACATACTGTACAGTAGTATAGCACTAACACAAAATAGGAAAGGAGTGTATCTTTCTCCAAACATTTTGGGCATGAAGCACCAAATAACCATTCTTAACAACTTTTAGCAAAAGAAAGAAAAAGCATTCTATCCCCAAACCCATCTGTTCTGTTAATTACACTTCTGTAAAATCAAAATAAATATTCATTAGTGAAATGTTTCACTTATGAATAATTTCAGAGAATTGTAAATACAATCAGAAGCCTTCAATGACACATTAAAACTATGAAAACGTCATCTGTAGCCATAGTTTAAATCGGAAGAACAAATACAAATTCAAAACTTGGAACGTGACCAAATGAGAAAAAAACAAAAAATTAACCATTAATGTATTTAATTTTTACAACTCAGCCATGAAAATAAATGTGATTTATCATTAACCTTTCAACAGTTTTTCCCCAACAGACATTTACACATGTACCTTTCGGTATCGGCTAATAAATTACAATATAAAATCCAGATGGAGATGATTTATTTACTCCAGTATAAGGTTTTTAAGTGCAGTATTTTGTTATCAGTGCCTCCTGACTCAGACATTGTTTTCCTTTTTGTCTGCCAAGTCTCCACTCTTTTAGAAACTCATTAATTATATTAATTGAATGAGAAATGCTAGAAAGAGACTTCAGAGTGACAAAGAAGTGTGATATTATATATACTGCAAAGGAACAAGTAAAGGTTAATTCCACAAAGAACAACGGAAAAAAGAAACACAACATTTCATCACCCCTGAAGAAGATTCAACAACCACAAAATTGTGCTGCGTCTATTTTTCAGTGTGGAATTAATTTTTACTTTTTCCTTTGTAGCCATCGCATGCTGACGTAGCTCCCCACTCGAACATTTATATCCTGTACTGTACAGTATGACTGTACATCTACACACACACACCCATTATTTGCACCTTTTAATCGAATACAATGAAGCTTATTTAGGTGTCTTTTCATGTCGATATGAGTAAGTGAATTAGCCCTGGACAGCAGAGAACACATGAGGGTGCGTGTGAACAGCAGCCATGAAATGACATGTCTCTGTTGCTAAGGAACCTTGCTCTGCACAGACGCATGGCATTTTGAAATGGTACCATGCATGATTTTCATGGTGCTCAACTCTTTAGAAGCTACGATAACGGAAAAAGTGAATTGAAAGAAAGTAAGAAAAAACCCAGGGTGTATAGAAAATATCAAGAACACCACATGAAAAATTAACCACTTGTAAACAAATTTGTAAACATTATGCTTTGTCTAATGGTAAAAACAAAAACCATTATTTGGAACCACACAAACTGATGAAGATACATATTCTTATACAGTATCCTGTTAGCAGAATAAGTGTAGGAATGAATACTGAAAGCTCTATTTCATGCAGACTTAGAGCCAAATTTCAAGTTTCAATAGCTTATACAGCTGTTTAGTAGAAAATGTGTAAAATGTATAACTACAGACATTACTTTAGTCTATAAAGAAATTAGAAATGCAAATAAGATGAGTAAAACCATTATGATTTCAACATCTTTGGCACAGCTTAGGAAAAGCTACTATGGGGTTCTGCAAATGAGACTGAATCCCAAGACTTAACCTGATATATTCAGGATGCCAAGAGAGGATGTCCTTATCGATCCGGGCAGTGTTGAGAGTAGACAACTAGACAACTACTGGGGACCAGTGATCACAGCATGCTATCAACAGAACTTTATTTCATATTTCCAGACGTAACATCTAAAGTTGTGACACAATGTCTGGGAAAACAACTAGAGTAATGAATTTCTGGTCAATCCCCACAGATACAGGTAAGATAATGGATGAGAAAACACCACAAATTGGATGGCTAGATTGCAAGGACACAATGGCAGCTGTGCAAAGCAAAAAAATCTCACCAGTAAGATCTAAAAGGCTGAGGCCAAAGGGGCTTGCCAAATAAATTATTAAAAAAACATTAGAGGAAAACAATTTACAGGGCACTGAGGATGCACCAAGATCAAAAGAAATAACGAGAATACTGAAGTTGACAGAAAAAATAAAAAATGAAATCTGACATGGCAAGGGAAAGAGAGAGGACACTACTAGTGTAACTAAGCTAGAGCAAAACAGCTTTTCTGTTAGTGCAGCAGTAAGCGAACATTGAAGGTAGAAGTCAAGACAAAAGAACATGATGTGTAGAAAACAAAAAGGCATCTGCAAATTTACTTACTGTTTACTTTGCTCATAACCGAACTAAATTTAACCGAGATTAATACTGACTCCCCCGCACAGATCCGACTGACTTCATTACTGAAATTGATGTTTTACAGGGAAATGTGAGGTTTTACTAAAGGCCACTTGAAGCTAAATGCACCTTTTCAGTTGCACTTAAGAAATTAGGGAAATTCATATACTGTATAACCAGATGCACAAGTTCTTCCAAAAAAACACACTAAATAACAGGGTTCCTTTATGCAGATCAGTTGCAGGTAAAGTAAAAAGAGCTGTCATCATACATCATGTATTGCAATTAGTATTCACCTTTGCAAAAAAATAATCGTTTTCATGCTTTCTTTTGATTGAAGGGAAAACATAAAACCACATCCCATCCAAACGTGCCCTGGGCAATATGTTCAGACTCCTGCCCATATGCACATGTTCAGTTAACAATATGTTCATATTAATCATGCAAACTGGCACAAGATGGCTAAATCCCGATTACTGTCAATGATGTCTCAGATGGCTTTTAAGAAAGCAGTGAATGCAAAGGAAGTATCCAAAATAAATACACGACTTTTAGTACATAAATACAGTTGACTTGTAATTTACGAGTGTCCAAGTACATCAACATACAAGTTCGGATAAATATCTTAAAATTTTAATTAACTACCCAGTACGCTCGGCATTCATATGTAGTACTGGAAACTAGAAGTCATTAATAAAGTAAACTCCACATAAAAAATATTTCCCAGCCTGTAACTGCACGTGGTGAAATTGTGTCTTTTATTTTCAACTAATTAAATTCAATTAATTAAAAGGAATATCTTGCTATTGTAGCACCTACACCATAACTAGATAATTTGTTTCTATTTCCTTTAATGTGTGAAGCTACCATGACAACCGTAAAAAATTCATTATAAAATTTAGAAAAAGCTGGAGAGCAATTGGGTCACTTTGACGTAAAAAATCTCCAGAAAACAGTTCTCTTCAGTACTTTAAAGACAACTGAGTAAATATGGAGTGCTATTGAAATTATGCAGCAATGCCGATGGGGTAGATGTAATTTACTCAGATTACTGTGGAAAACACATAAAAGGCTTACGTCTGAAGTATCTCCCTCTTCATTGGCTCTTATGGAATAAGGCTTTTAGAGCTGTTGTAGAAACACAGGCATCAATATTAATGCTTGAATTAGACAGATACACCAGAGCGATATACCAATTGTTACAAAACAGAGAATATAACATGTCTTCAAGCTTAACCCAAGATGTTCAACATTAATGCAGACATTGAACTTTGCTAAGGGACACCCGACAGTAACAAAAACCAACATGTCACACCATTAAACTGCCTTTGTAATAATTTTAACGACTGAGTATTTTAGTGCAACCCTGGCAAAATTCACATGCGGTATGTATCTGTAGCAATGACATATGTAAATTAGGTTAATACTATGAAGTGGCACGCTCTTCTAAATTAGAAATTCCTCCTGAAATTCTATGTATAAATCCTTGTATTAAGGACTGAAGTCATTAGTAGAACAGAATCTGATTTGGAATGTGATATGTCACACATTGTTTATGTGATTGATGCCATGTAATGTTAAAGGTCGAGGTTATGTTATTGTATATTGTTTTTTTTTTTTCATTTTTGTATGGCATGGATAGTGTGATATGCAGCTGTCATGATTGTAATCCCTCCCCCTTAAAGGCTCTCCGGCTCTTTCACATTTTAGTTGATTTTGTGCACCTGCTCCCTGTTCCAGAACCTTCCCTACAAAAGCCAGACGCTCATTCTAATCCGGGCCCTGCATTGGAACAAGGACACCTGGAGGCCCGCCTACCACCAAGTCGCCCTACGTCCGTGGCCTTGAGGGCCCTTGAGGGCACAGGCCTCCTATCGGCATCCTGAACCAGCCGAGTCCGGGACTTGGAGCGCCCGGTCCTGTTACCTGTTTTTATTCCCCGTCCTTGCACTGTATCCCGTTCCGGCTTTTAACTGTGTTTTGTTTTTGTCTCCTCCTGGATTTCCGGGTTTTTGGACTTTTGGACTTCGCCCCAGTTTTCCCCCTGGACTTCCTCGGATTTGTTTGCCTGGACCAACACCAGTGCACACTCGTCACGCCCTCCCTGTTCGTCTACCAGCCCAGTTCCTCGTCTCCTCCCCGTGTGTGTTCACTCCCTTCCGGATTGTGCTGTCTGCACAAGGTCCTGAAAAATGCATCGTAACAATAGCACAATGGATGGGCACGCATGAGGTGTCAGGTAACGTGCAGGCAACCAGTTTCTGCAAAGCAAAATATGCACCCTGATGGACTGCAAGATGTTGCCAATAGTTCCATGAAAATTCCCACAAGCACACATGACCATAGCTAGAAAATATTCCTACAGTATGTGGATGGATATTGCTAGGAATGTATTGAACTTTAATCACCTTAAAAACAATGCAATGAACATCTTTCAAGGATCAGTAGGGCATGGAAGTGCCTGTGACAAGGACAGAACATGACACGTAATCTTGTAGAAAATACAAAGAAGTGCAAGTATTGGAGGTTTCTTCACTGAAAAGGAAATAACTGCCAGGTTATACTGTGGAGGATGATTTGCAGAAATCTTCAACAAGTGACGGGATGGGATTCTCAGTTCAATAAGCGAATAGGAACCAAGCAAGTGCGTTTTGTTGAAAGGTCTCATTTTCCCTTTACATTTTAATGTAGTGTGAGGGGTGATCTGCATTTTGCTGCATTATCTATGTGGAGATAAAGCCTGATATTTCTCATGGCACCATTTATCACATTTGTCTACATCTCTGCACAACTGCGGAGGTACTCTACAGAACACCCAGTACTCACTACGTCTGCTAAATTTGGGTGACCACAAGCTTGTGTGTCTTCTTAATTGGAGTGCCAAGAGAAACCAAAGACTCTTCCCCAAAAATAAAATATAGCCTTAGCATAACACAACTTAAAAGGCATTTATAAAATGTATTGGAATTTACCGCTTACAAAGAAAGATTAAAAACAAACACAGCATAACCTTTTCCAAAACTGATTCACCTGATTCCAACTACTAGAGTATCGTAGCTAGTGATATGACAAATGCTTAATTTCCTACTGACTTCTATCAGCTGCCTATAATGTCCCCTGTTTTGAATGTCAGAGTATTTATACTGTATGATGCATGTGTACACACAAACAATTTTATCAATACATTCCTGTACAATTCGTCTACATCCTCAACACAAATATCAGTATATAGAGATAGTAGATAATTTGATGCTGTGCATAGCTGTCATTTACACCTGAAACAATTCTAAACTAATTTTCCTTTAAAATGTTGGACTTTTAAGTATATGATAAGTCCTTGTAAGGCAAAGTCACATGGTCTCCTTTAACCATGTTAACCAAATCCACTGAACATCTTCTTTTGCATGTTACTTTAGGATTACATACATTTTCCTCAAAAAGACTCAATGGTCTCTTTAAGTCTGGCCCAAACTAACTTTTAGCTGAGAACTGTATTACATTTTACATACACAGTAAAAAAAAAACTATGATATCGCACTTGTTTTCTGTATATTTCAATATACTTAAAACAACAAATAGATAATATGAGTGATACAGTTTAGTCCAACAAATCTACTTTTCTGCAATCTAACACATCTTAGATTTTTAATTAATTTGCATTTCTCTAATCAGTTCATATGACAAAAAGTATTGAGTTGTGAGTTTTTTAAGGATTAATATCAAAAAGTGATGACTTAATAAGTCTTCGGAAAATTAAAAAATACACTTGTGAAAAAAAAAACATTACAGCAGAATTACACGGAGCATATGTTGCATGTATTTTGAAGACAATCTCAACTGGATCAACATATTTTGTTTAGGTTTAAAAAGAAAAATGAAAGTTTGGCAATAACACTTTGACATCATGAATCTCCACCACAGCTCTGACAGTTTATGTTAATCCTAAACTGACTTCTCACATGCAATACAGCTTCATTGCATTAGATGTGTTTAACTGATGTTCATTAGAATCAGTAGAAACTAGCAAAATAATCTCACTTCTGAGTCAGCTTCCAATGAAGCAGAAACACTCAGTGTTACTGATCTTAAATCTACAGTGTTGAGAAAACAACTGTCTGAAATACTTTAAGACAGTCTGAATACAGTCAGACTTTTAACTGTGTATGAATGTTTACTACAAGGAACCACCCATATACAGTAGTTCAAACAGATATGTACTGTTTTTAGTGTAATGGCAAGTGGGGGGAGTTCTATAGACACAACTCTAAATGTGATATGTCAGATTCAAAGTGCTATTTATAACAGATACCCCTTTGTTTCCCCCAAACACAATAATCCTTCAAATATAAAACAAGGGCAGAAAAATACTTATTTTATTGCATGTGAAATACAGTATGCAAAGTAATTTAAAATTATATTAAAACTACTAAGTAAAGATGATGTAGAACTGTACAGCATTTTGCTTGATCTTGAAAAGTGAATAAAACCACTCATTTAACCTATGTATCTCTCAACTTTAAATCCCTTGATTTTCTTTTCTATACTCCATTTTATTATTTCTATGGAAACGTTTACTCTGTCCGATGATTTTCGCTCAATAACAAACACATACACCACAGCTGCAAAATCAGTGTTACAAACCGTGCAGATTTTCAAATAAAAGAACAAAAGTACATGATGAACATTTTAGAGTGACATAAATATACAGTATACATAGCGAACATGATGTTCAAACAAAGTTAACAAGTTGCGACACACTGTAGCAAAGAAATGGAACACGAACTTGCTATTGGTATTCAACGATTTTGCCACCTGTGGAACATATAGCAATTTCAGCTCTGTTGTACAAATGTATTCAGAATAATCTCTTTATTTGGAATGAAATATTGAAAAGCAACATCCCACAGTTAAAGGGTCATTTCTTGCTATATTCACAATATTTTCCCGTTATTTTTTTTGTATTTATCAGGTATTGTGAAATCTTTTAGTACATCGCTAAATATTGTTTTCTTTATATTCTTAAAATACAGTTTACGTATATCTCAATTAGCTAACAGTTCCTAATACGTAGGTCTATACACTGTACATAGTCTTAATATATATTTTTAGATGTTTATAGTGGGTTTTAAAAAGTTTTTTGAGTTTTCATTCATTCAATCTCATTGGTTCAGACTACGGTGGTATTCTCATTGTTTTTTATTGCCTTGCAATGTCCAGGCAGCGCATAAGAAAAGCAAGTTTCGGATTGAGGAAAGCCCCATAACCCATTAAAACAGCTAGATTTCACATGAACTTTCCACGACAACCACGGCAGTTTCGGAAACATATCGGGGGAAAAAACAAACCTGTGAAACATGACAAACATCTTACCCGCAAAGAGGTGAAGCTCCCCACAGCGCCTTTTTATTCCGACACTTGAACCCGAGGAGCGTGAAGAGTATGGCAGCTGGTTAATGTTTAAGAATCCCTGGACGCTTGGAATCCGCCAGCTCTGCTCACTGTTCAGAGATGTGTTCACACCCACTTCCACATGTACAGTACAGTAGCTCCTTCTCCTTACTGTCCGCGGGATGATCGCCTTCTCCCGCAGAAGTGAGAAAACAATCCGATTCCTTTCCAGTTTCTCCATCTGCACGCATACCGTAGGCTTCAAACTGAAATTGCACTACGCCAAAGACTGCAACAAGTTCCTACCTCTAAATTGGCAAGGCTGCGCTTTCATTTGACTGGTAAAAGCAAACTACAAACGCAACTCTGCGGATGGCTTGTACAGTAGGAGAACACCATTCTTGGGGGAATTGAGGAAACTACTTTTGTAAACGGAAGCATGTTGTGATCATTTAATATTCATCCCAGATACAAATCAGAAAATGATTCTTACAGCCAGTACGTATTAAGCTTCATTGGTGAAAACAAACGGAATTATTTTCTTTAAAACAAAATAAAATCATGTTGTAGTAAAAAAAAAAAGACGTGTTTTCAAATAGGGGTGGTTACTACCAGGAAAGCAAACATCTGATTCAGATAAGTAATGCTCCACTCATCGTAAGGGTTAATCCTGCAGGTAACTGAAAACATTACAGCTTTAAAGTGCTGTAAAAATTCTAACTTTAATGATTATTGTTTCTAAAGGATTATGCACAGTATAACCCATCAATTTAACAGCAAATGACAAGCCTAATCTATTCCTCACATGCCTAGTCTCTCTGTAATAGATCAATAATAATTATATTTCCCCTATGCTTGCAGGAAGATGAATAGTCCATGACTTTTCACTTGCAAAACATAGTCATGCAAACTCAGTTTAGAAAACTGTTCTCTCCACAGTATATTAAGGAACAAGAGGGTCAATAAATAAATGTAGGGTATGGCTGTATTGTAGGAAATGTCAGAAATCATAGGCTAATCACCTTTTAATAGGAGGTTACTCTCCTGCTGTCTGGTATCAGAGGTGCTCAGCAGAGCTGAAACAGACATGAAGTTTCTAGACAGTCCAGACTACACACCATGTCAGTCTCCAGCTGTTTTGTTTCCTGTTTCTGCTTCTGAATTGGTAACACTTCTGAATGCAAGACAACGGCTTCAGGCAATTGTTCTGTTCCTGTAAGGTCAGATAGTGGTTTTATATAGAAATAATATCTAATAGCTTTCACAGCAATTTAATGACAGATTTAATTGGGAAACCAGTTGTGATTAGGCTGCAAATAGCTGTACTCTTTACATGGACCAATTATTTCTTCCTAAAAATGAACAGAAGAAAAAAAAGATTTCGCTGTCAAAATTTTGTTTATTTATGGTCTGTCCACCTTAATTTTATAATCAGTAATTTAGTATGTTGAAGACAACAGAAAAGTATTTCATTTGGTTCATTTGGATTGACCTAATATTGAACCATCCTTGTTGACTGCACAATCGATCACAATGTATGTACTGTATGAAGAGAAAAAACAGGAAAAGCCTGGATGATTAATCTTTTGTTATCTTGATGTGTGGTATTTTTCTAACTCTCACATTTCATTTGAAGGGCTAATAACAGGTTTCTTACATTTCCTTTAATAACATTTAAATGTCTTTTCTTATTTCTAATAGATGTGGGTCTTGAGCTAATCCACAGAGGACATACAGTAGGAACAAGTCAATAATGTTTGTGAAGAGTTAGGTTCCAGTGCTCAATAGTATTACACAAGATACACAACTAGTTGAAGCAGCTGTCTTAAGAAGCTAGCCTACTGTATAACCTGGTTACAATATGTAACATTATTACAAGCCACTAAAACTCAACAGAAATCCAGAACAAAATCCATCTTTTCTTAAGTCTTTATTTCCCTCGGGGTCCATCTCAGTATAGCTAAGGGTTATGAAGTGCTATTCGGCAAGACAAATAATGAAATCAGCCTACAAAGCAAGCACACAATCCCATCTCACTAGATAAAGCAGAATTAATTCAAAGACAGGACATCAAAGATTCTTCCTAAAATGTATGCTTATACATAGCCAAGGAACTATGTATTTTATGAGAAAATATTGCATGCAGAGTATCTCTGATGATTAATAGTATGTCTTAGATTTACGAACAGGATATAAGAAGTGCCTGAATATTATTTATATCAGCTATTCAGATATGTCATATGATAAGTAAACAAACAATGTTCTACCTTCACCGAGTTCTAAACTGTTGTTGAGCACATAAAATCAAATTATCTCAGAGCATTAATGCGAACTGAAAGTATTTCTAGTATATTAAACAATGTGTCTCAAATTCTTAAAATTAAGGCTTGGAGTACCGTTGTGATTCTCCTTTGCTGTGTGTGTGACTGCATATATACTGCTTGCTGGTATAAGTTACTGTATGTTATCATGACACGACAGTGCATGAAACCACCAATATCAATCAGAAGCTGTGTTTTTGTCTGTGCTGTGTCAGGTAACACATTTTCTCAAATGTCTTTTGGTTTAGTATCGATACATTGCTTTCATTAACACACATTTACTTACATTCTGCTTGCATTTATTTGATTCCCTAAGATTTCAATTTCAAATAATACTAAAATGTTAAATTTGCCTACCCTCAGCAGCACGTCTCATTAAAATTCAATGGTAGCATGAAATTAATGAATATTGGCTTTTAGTAGCTCTTGTTCACAGTAAGCAAGGGGATGACGTGTCAGGCCAGCTATGTTTGGTTCACATGAACAATTCATCTCCTACACAACCCATAATGTGACTGTTGAATTGCGCAAAATGATGCACAAACACTTTCAATCACCATCTCAACAGACAGTTTAATGGCACAACACCCCAAATCTGGGGTTAAACTTGTTCGTAGTATACACTCACCGTATTATCTAAGTTATATATTTATCATAATGACAACTCTATATACTGTAGATATCACTTACCAAGAGTAATGATAATCCTGGCATGATTTACTAAAATAACACTCAACACTAGATAATCCAATGTCAGTGCTTATTAAGGTATCCAATACCACTAGAAAATCATGTTGCTTTTAAAGTATTGTGGAAATGTAGCATAGACACAGAACTATTTTGACTTATATTCTCTACACAGCACTGCAATCTAAATTGCCTACTAGACAGCTCTAATTAATGTTATACTGGCTGCTGTACACTATCTTGGCTTCATGGTGCAGTGTCTGAACTGCTCTGCTTAATGCATTGTTATCTTTTGTATAAGAACTCACTGGCCAAAAAAAATTAAACAAAATCATCATAAAATATGCTTTATCCTAGATTTACTTACCATGGTATCTAATGAGCAGTTCTTATGGACCCATTGTAAGAGAGAGCACTTGTCTTTACTCTGCTTCACTGTAAGCTGATCTATTATCTCTTTTTTAGAGCACAGAAAGGAAGACACTCGTTCATGGTAGGCTTGATATAATTATAGAAAAGTGGGGATGGTTTTTGAAAAATATAAATAACCAAGCTGATAGCATTTTTCTTGTGATACTGATGTAATTGGTCTTAAAAACTGAGATAATAACCATTGTTATCAACAACTTCACTTTTCTCCCACCACATCATTGAGCCATCACAAGAAACATACTCTATGAAGTTAAAAAGAGCACTGTCACTCCAACAGTGTCAATTTCAGTACTGGGCCAGAAGTAAAAAAGAAACTTGAAACAGTTCTGCTAATTAAATTCTTTTATTTTAGTCAAATACTGACCCCTCCCTTCAGAGTAGACAGTGTTGTATGTCTGTACTATATTATTTAAACAAATTTTATAAGTAAATTAAAACAGAACTAGCATACTCTAATCTCAAATCTCAATAAGCATCTGAACCATATTTGAAGAAATATTACATTTAATACTCCCCAGAAGGCCTACATGCTGAATAAATTAATCTAATTAAGTTTAACTCAAACTTCAGTATAATGCAAGACAACCCAACCACTAAATTACATATGGGCCACTTTCATCACTTAATCACAATACAATACAGGATTACACTGCAAACTAAAACATGACTAAGTTGTAACTACAGTATGAACCAGTCTGAGCCCTCTTTTATTTACTCTGATTGAACATTTTATTTTTCGCTATACATAATTTAATCTATGTGTTTTATCTAATCCAGCTCCACTTGATTCCATTGTTTGATTGTATAATTTGGTTCAAGTGAACCCTGCTATATTTATCCTGTTTAAATGGCGAACTGGACTTTCCATCTAGGGGGAGGGGCTGTTGAGATGTAGGACATGAGGGTCCCATTGCTGGAATTAGCAACTAGTTCATTTGTATGGTTGTTAAAATGATGGGGTTTCCATATAATGTGGCTTAATATTGGCTTTAAAACAAACACTTCTGAGTGAATAGTTTATAATTAGAAATTAGTATATAATCAGTATTTTTTTCAAATTGCATATTTCTAATTCTTGGCTTTAAATGAACTGGGCTTGATCCCCCCCACCTAGCATCATCACAGCAGCCTGTATTTATCTAGTACTTTTCATTCCCAAGATTCCAAATGTTTTAGATCTTAAATAATTTCAGTATTTATACAGAAATAGACCAACTTCGCCCAACACAGAAGTACAGCTACCTCCTGTGTAATGTGCAGAAGCCATTATGCACCTCACTACACAGCAGAAGTGTTAGAGGAGTGAAAAATTACTCAGCTGTCTGACTGCAATTCTAGAATTTCAAGTGATTTTGTGTCACCCTTACGGTTTCCATGTTACAAGTACTTTATGAAGATTTTGCATTACTGAACTCCAACTATAATAAGTATGCCGCAGACAACTATCGTTACTAAATTACACATAGCAATGCATCATCAACATTAATTGTTATAGGCCACGATTATCATTACAATGCTACATATGTTAGAGGCTGCTATCACAATTGAAATAACAATAATACAATAAAGACCAACATGATTGCTGAATTGGAACCACAGCTTTCATGGCACTTTCTGACGTTAAATGAAAACAAAAAGTGGATTCCAGCCTGCAGTCTAAAGACTGCTCAGGGTGTGAGGAGTGTTTTTCAGTAATTCCACAATACATGCAAATGCAACTTGTATCATTTTAAAATAAATTTACATTTTCACAACAGGTGTATAGTGGGTATTTATGTATCATTTTCCATTAATCAAACACCAACTACGTACTGTATAATAATATTGTGTACAATATGTTTGGTGCCTTTGTTGGATTTTCTAC